CCTGTCTCTTGAGCTGGACGTTTATGTTCAAGTTTGGCCCCCATGTCACTTAACTTCTCGGTAAGCACTCGATGCTTATGTTTTGTTTTCATGTCTATTAAGAGTCCTGTTGCTCTAAGTTTGTTCTCCAAAAAATGAATTGTTTGTCTTCTGGGAACTCTTTCATCACAAAATTTTTGCTGACACTTTCCAGCAGATCTGTATTTCACATAGGTGTCATGTAGAAATATGCGTGCCACACTGCTGACTGACTGTTAACTGGGAACAAATGGCTGATGGCACAGATGACTACTGCCAACTGCTTGCAAATCATAAAAACACTCCCATAAATGAACTGCACTGCCTGCCATGTAACATACCGTATTTACGCATGTATAGGCCGCACATTTTTTGCCAGAGATTCAAGAGGAAAACTGGGGTGCGGCTTATATTCGAAATATTCGAAATCACACTTCATTTAAAAAAATTATATTCATAATTAGTAATACAGGGTGTTCAAAGATCGAGGAAACCGGGGCAGCAGCGTAGAGCAGATGGAACGTTTCTCCGCGACTACTGTGCCCCTCCCTGCTAGCGAGAGTGCAGTCGTGTCGCTGATACCCTTACATCAGTTTCTGTACATGCACACATTTATAAGAATACTGTAAAAAGATAACACAAACTTACCATGCTTTATAACAGGTGCTGAAGGTGACCCCCTTCTGCTTACAAACATGCTTCGCATCGCATGAATAAATTATGCGACACTTTCTGAAGTTGGTCCACGGTAATTGAACCATATTACTGTTCATCACTTGACTTGTTACTGTCGATGTCGCTCTCGCTCGAAGTTTCGCTGTCAGATGATGTCAGCCATACAGCGTCATCTTCAGTTGGAAATGGATGTGGCTTTAAAACTTTTGGAAACCATTTCTTCTGGTATGGTGTTCCATGCAGCCACAATCCACTCACACATTTGACTTAATGAAGGTTTCTTCAATCGTCCAGTCGGCATCATCTCCGTGGAACCGCATCTCCAGTCCCGGTAAAAGCGCCACAAATGAGACTTGAAAGGACGGTTTATTGACACGTCAGGTGGTTGTAACATGCCAGTCATCCCCCCTGGTATCACAACCATATCACTTTTCTCCTGCCTCATCTTCACTTTCACATTTTCAGTTAAATGGCTTCGAAAACTGTCAACCACTAACATTGACCGCTGACGTAAAAGTGCGCCTGGGCGCCGAAACCACACTGATTTCAACCAATCCAGATAGAGCTCTTCTGTCATCCATCCTTTTTCTTGAACTCTCACCAAAATTCCCGGTGGAAGCTTTTCTTTCGGCAATGTTTTGCGTTTGAAGATTACAAATGGTGGTAGTTTGTTTCCATCAGCAGTGATACCAAGCATTACGGTACACCACTGCTTTTCTGCTCCTGCAGTCCGCACATGCACTGTTTTTTCGCCTGCTTTGTTCACTGTACTTTCACCCGGCATTTCAAAGAACACAGGAGTTTCATCAACATTTCCAATAGCTCCCATGGTGTAGTTGTGCGTCTTTCTTAATTTCAGGACATGTTTTTGAAATGCAAGCAGTTTCTCCTGGTATGTGTCGGGAAGGCGCTGCGCTATTGACGTCCGTCGCCGAATTACAAGATCATGTCGGGCCATAAAGCGCCTTGCCCATCCATAACTTCCCTTAAATTCATTACGAGGAATTTTCATTCTGTCCGCTATTTTGAGGCCTTCAAATTGAATAATTTCCACAGACACTGAAAATCCATCCGCCCGTCTATTATGCACATATTGCAAAAGTTTATTTTCAAGTTCTGGAAATTTAGCTTTCTTTCCGCGGAAAGATTGTCGATTTTGTGACGTTTTTTCAAGGGCATCTTTCGTTAGTATCCATCTTCGCACATTTTTTTCGTCAACGTCGAATTTTCTCCCTGCTGCTCGATTTCCGTGTTCTTGTGCGTAACGCACCACTTGAAGTTTAAATTTAGACGTATAACCTGCTCTTACTCGACCCATGTTTCACTCAGAACTAACCAGGCAAGTCAAGTAAAGGCGAAAAGGTTATAACTCTCCCCCGCAATGCCTTTGTTCCGAGCGGTACCGTTATTTTCGCTAGTTGCGAACTTATTAATGTTAAACGTTGCCAAATTTTGGAATAATTTCTACTCCTGAAATAATATTCCAAGAAAATTATTTTTTCTATAATTTACGTCTGAAAATTGTGCTGCGGCCTATACACGCACGCGGCCTATACATGCGTAAATACGGTACTTTCCCCTTTGTGTCTTTCGAAGGTTTACTTGACTTCCCTCAACCTAAGGCNTACACACACGCGGCCTATACATGCGTAAATACAGTAATACTGTGTAGAGGTCTGCAAGTTAATTATATTCTTTCATTCCAAACGTTTTCTGCCATCAAGCATGCTGAGTTATTGGCAGAAATCACATGCTTTACAACTGGATATGCACCAGCAGCGGTGAGATGCAGAGCTGTGTATGTGTCTAGTTACTAAGAATATTATCTGTACATGCAAATCAGTATATCCAGCATGTCCAATCACTGCTGTACCTCCTGCCCCTTTACATGTGGTTGGAATTTGAAAATCATTGGCATGGTTCTTTTTATATTTCTCAGAACTAATTGGTTCAGGTTTAGGTGCTGGCAGATGAGACTCATAAATTTACTGTTTTAGTGCATTTACTACTGCTCGACTGGGGCCAGTGGCCATAGAATAAGACACTGGACCTACCTTGGATCCTGAACAGATATACCAGTTAAATTGTGAGTGGTTCGTTTGTTGTTGGAGTGGAATCAGATTGAGTCTCATGGTACTGTGGCCTCAGATGAGCCTCTTATACCAGCTGCTCATGATAGAAGAGTATGGAGTATTGGCAGAATGATAAATGATAAGGGAAAATTGGTCAGAGAAAACCTACTTTAGTAGGTTGTAAATAAAAATAAAATATTTGTTTCCCCACATTAAGAGGTAAAAATGAATGGTGTTCATCTGTCTAGATTGCCAGAGAACATTGATTTTTGGTAATAGATCTGATTATAGGTAATGGGAGTGCAGACTTCTGTCCTTGTAGTGATTCCAGTGAGACTGGCCACAAGCCAAGCACATAAACATTCTTTCTCTTGTGAATAATTGGAGTAGTTGTACATTGGTGCCACAGCAGATTGCTAATGAGAATGTTTTCAGACTGTGAAGTTTACATGCCATTATTTTGTGCAGAGACCTCTGCACTTTCAGGGTCATGCAGAGGTGAGTTGATGGATGGCAGGCACAGGTTTCCACAAATTGTTAGCAACCTGAATGTCAATAAGACTGCATAGTGTCACTATCCAGGAGACCACATTCCACACCTTCACAATCATGGAAACCTCCTGTTTGGTATGCGTGGTTCTCTGATGTGAATGTCCATAGCTAAAGCACCAGATTGTATAGTCTGTAAAATAGGGTTGTGTGCTGTTATAAACTGTAACTATGTTATTGTTAAGAAAGTGAACTGTTTTATGATCTGCTTGATCTTAGAACATTAAGAGTGATAGCCTAGTAAATATTGCAAAGCATAATAGTTATTTAACCTTTAAGTGCTGAAGTGCCCCATTTGGGCCAGCGGTGAGTATGGTCATCGTGACCAAAGTTCCCCGTTTTGGGCAGTCGGTCATTTAACTCCACTAGTGGAAGCGCACGCACACGCCGCTAGTAGAAGCGCATGCACAGTCCTAAATATTTATTTTTAAATGTAGTAATTACCAGACAGACTTGGGTAAAACCATAATAGAGGAATTAAAATGATACCAAAGTGAACAAGAGCAAAAAAGAATATGCGTATGAGTTATGCCCAGAATCATCCACAAGCCAGTAATTTTATTGCATATTCTGCAGATTAATGTGTTAAAAATATATAGTAAAATTTGATGTACATACCTTTTTTGTTGTTATCTGCTTGATGTATATATAGGCTGAAATGAAATTAAGTATTCGATTTCACCATGAACGCACAGAAAACAGATCACACTTTGTATCTCAGCCACAATACAACTGTATGTTCACACCCATAGAAAGGGCAATAATCTCTTGCAGCTATAACAGAAGGTCTTGGCACTGAAGAAGGGACACCTCTAGCTTTCTCTTGAACAGCCATTCTTTCATTCTTCTGTCCTTTAGTCTAAAGATTCGAAAATCCGAATAGTGTAAGCAGTGCTAGCAGAAGACCAAATGATTTTATTGCTTCTGTCTGTTTTATGACACCAGGGACTGCTAAAATTTGTCAAGTGTTACAAACAGAAGTTAATTTATAATGCAGAACAATTCTGTGAAGAACTGGGAAACCATTTTTGCAGTACGCATTAAAATTAAAAGAAAAAAAATTAAAAATAGAGTATAACTCTTTGTATAAATATTTTCAAATCTTCTGTTATAATATATGACACTATGTTCTTTGCTGATACAAACAAAGTTAATTCCATCCATTTATCATAAAAATTGAGTTAGATACAGCATTTTTAAACACAATGCTTAAGATTGTTTAAGCCCCCTAACAGGAACTGACATTTAAATGCAGAGTAGCAACGGGCATTTAAACACACACCAGCAGTGGCTATTTAAATAAACTCCGGCTAGCTCAAGCTTACCACCATTTCAGAAGGTTAACTGGTCAAAAAATGCTCTACCTTTTATGGAACCCTGAGGTTTTTTACTGTGTTCAGTGATCCTTCTCATGAGCCAGAGCCAGATGAATCCAGTTTACACCCTGATACTCCGCTTTCTTAAGATCCAGTTTAATATTATCTTCCCATTAATTCTTCAGGCTCCCATGTCCTCATCTCTACTTCCTCTGACAAGAATAATGCATGCATAATGATAGCATTGGGGCTGGACAGCCGGGACTTTATTCGCAGTGGGAGCAAAATATTTTTCTTTACTGTGCAGCATGCTTGGTCAGTAGAGTTCGCTTGAGGACTAAAACCACGGAGTTTGTTTTGTTTTGTGCAGCATCCAGACTGGTTCAGCAGCTCAAACATCCTCTTAATCCAATGGGTACCAGGGGCACTTTCCCAAGGGTAAGGCAGCTGAGGGTTGAAGCTGACCTCCATCAAATGCCATAGTGGCGGAGCTGTGCCACCACCCTCCACATACGGCTTCATGGCATGGTGTTTATTTAAGCACATGGATAGATTGATTTTTGTCAGTAATGGTGAGTTAACAGTCAGAAATTGTTTAAAGATCCAATAATAATGTTTATTGTTAATTAAGAAATATAAAAGTCCTTCATTTGAAAATGTGTTTGTGATTTAATTACCTTTACACTATAATAAACACTGAATGTACGGTCCATGAAATGAGAGAGAAAATGTTTCAAATTGTGATTAGAATGTAAACATTAAAATTTGTTTCTTTCATAAAATTAATTTTTGCTACATATTTTTATGAATTTCAAGTTCCTCGCCAGTATTTTTCTTCATTTCTAGGTTTGAGTCACTTTCTAGTGGCTGTTCAGACAATAGGTTTCAGTAGCCTGATGCATCCCTGTGGCCGCTATTGCTGCTCTTATTGTGATCTGTGTTGCTACAGGTATTGCTTTCTGTCTTATCAGATCTGAGTATTGTATATTGAAGTTGTTGCAAAATATCTATATTCTTCTGAATATCAGAAAGTTTAAGTTACGAAAGCCACTGTTCAGAATTATTAGGTTTTTGGACTTCATCCATCATTCGATATTCTAGAAATTCCTTTATTCAGGAAACAGATGTGATCCTGTTGATCTGTCATGGAAACATACTGTACGTGGTTGCACAGTTCTTGTTTTATTCTGAATTGTACTGAACACTATGAGGTTCCTGAGCAAACTAACTATACTTTCAAGCACACAGGTACAGAATGGGATTGCCCAACTCACATTCAACCTGTCAGTTGTTTTTGAGCAACCTGCAAGAGCATCCTTCCAATTCCTAAAATTTGTGTCAACTCTTCCTCCTCTTTAGAAAGAGGTTATGTGAAGCTGTACAGTCTTGGTACTTGACAGCAGCATTAAATGGGACACGCAAGCTTGCTGTAACTCAAGAACATGAACGTGATTTTTTTATAGATTCTGAGGCCCTATACTATAGTGTCCATTTTAACATATTAATGATTATGAGGTTGCCACCCTGCCCCTTACATACAAGGTGGTTCAAATATGACTGGGACTCATTTGTGTGTGAACAAGCCGCACTGCGCAGCAGCTGTGCGATCTTGAGAGAGTGAAGCCACAACCTCCACCCTCCTGTTCAGTCCTGTCTGGGAGTTGTTAGCATGATGAACGAACAGAAGGTACCATGGAGCGTGGAACAATGCATTGTGATCAAATTCCTCGGAGAAAACGTCCCGTCCACTGAAATTCACCACAGACTCCAACAACAGTATGGGGAAGAATGTCTCTCATGGACCCGTGTGTTTGAGTGGTATAAGTGCTTCAGAGAGGACAGAGAGCGTGTGGAGAATGAACTGCATGATCGTTGTACAACCGCTGCTCACCACTTCTCGTGACCGTTGCCTATCTATCTTTATGTTTATTTATTTGTTTATTTATTTATTTGTTTGCCCGCTTCGGTAGAACACTTTTGACTCTTCTCAGGGTTGTGCCACGGTAATAACTGGGGCAACGCGGAGACTGCACATTTAAAACTAGTCCACTGATACAAATAAATACTCTATTTCTGCTTAATCACAATATTGTTTATTTCAGAATCAAACTATAACTTTATCGGAGAGTAGGGAGTAATGTGCCAAAGATTAATCGAGCTAAATAAATACTGTTAAATTTAGATAAACTTAGAGAGAGCAGGTAAATGACGTCTGCCTCTGGTGAATTATAAGTGCCAAGTCCGATACGTCTGTCTCTGATGAATTCTGAACGCCAAGTGCCTCTGCTTCTATTCTGCGGGAGCGTCACTTCATCACCATATAGGATTTGAACCGACGGCCTTTCTCCCAGACAAGAATAGTTTCTAATGGCTGAATTTAACTGCCAATTCATGATACCATCAGTACAAGACAATCACATTACTAACTTTGAGAATGAAGAGATCCAGAGATTTTGAACCCGGGACCCTACATGTGAAAGCACTTATGTCTTAGTTTAGGGCAGACAACAAACATATCCTTCTCATAATTGCCTCGACCCTCTAACGGTCACCCAAGGTCCAGGTAACAAAATAAGTTGTTCCTGTCTAAATGCGAAAAGCATGTCAACTTCTTAATGGATGGGTCTCCCTAATAAATCAGTCACTCTATTGAAATGACTAACGTGGAACACAGTGTCCATTAAAGAATATTAAAAGGTTTGGACGGTTACAATTGGCTGTGAACATCCGTCACTGAGCCAAACGTTGATTGTGCAGACACGCTTATTCTTGAGAATAGGCGCATCACTATCAAGGAACTTGGAGCAATGCTGTCCATCAGTGTTGTTAGTGTAGAAGACATCGTGAAATACCACCTGCACTATCGCAAGGTGAATGTACGGTGGGTACCACACTTTGACAGACGTGAACAAAATGGTGCGCATGCAAGCTGCCAGTTGTCTCCTACAGCAGTTTGAAGGTGATGCATTTTTGAAGTCTATAGTGACCACCGATGAAACGTGGGTGCACTACTTCATTCCCGAGACCCAGCGGTCATCACAAATGGCGGCATACCAGTTCTCCCAAACGCAAGAGAGCGTGGAGGAGCCGTTTAGCAAGAAAAGTGATGGCAACATTCTTCTGGGACTGGCAGGGGGTTATCCATGTAGACTTTCTGACAGATGCTAGAACAGTCAATGCAGCTATTACTCAGACCTCATGGCAACAGACGTGAAGAAAAAGATCCGATCCAAGCGGAAGACAGGTGGAAAGCGGGTAGCCTTCTTTCAAGACAATGCATGCCCCCATATGGCCAAAACAACAATGGAAACCCTCCGGAAATTGGAATGGAACCTTGTGACACATCTGCCGTACAGTCCCGATTTGGCTCCAAGTGATTTCTACCTGTTCGGAAGGCTCAAATCAGACTTTCAAGGCATGTGGTTTGTGAACAATGACGCCGTCATCCATACTGTTCAGGAGTGGATACGCTGCCAACCACAAGCCTTATTTTAAAAAGGGCATCAGGATGCTTCCAGAATGTTGGAAAAAATGTGTTGACTCTGGAGTTGAAGACTGATATGTGCAAGTAAGTGTTTGGCAATTATGTTTTTTAAAAAAAAATCAGTCCCGATCATATTTGAACCACCTTGTATATTTGTGTGTATTACATTCTGTACAATTCTAGTCATTTTATTAAATTTTTATGTGACTGAAGTCCAAAACCAAGTCCCTGAGCTGTTGTACCTGTGTTTTATTCACACTAGAAATGTTAGCTCCATTGGAAATCTAGAAAAGATGTATGTTTCTTGCTACTGCCATTTTTAAGGAGACGTGTGCCAAAGCCCTCTTGTGTTGAGTCTAATGAACATTGTCATCCATCCATTTGTAGCCGTTATTTGTAGATTGTTAAATAAACCAATTAACCATCTCTACGGCGTCTTCGGTAACGAAACACGTTACACTGGTGTCAGAAGTGGGATCAGTAACGCAAAACACGTTACATTGGTGTCAGAAGTGGGATTTGAACTTCAACACGTGACCAACGGGATTTGAACTTACACACGTGACGAACAAGATTCGAACTCAAGACACGTGATAATTTGGTGTCAGAATTTTTACGAACTTAAACACGCCTGACAAGTAATTGAATTATTGTGCATCGAGTATTCGACTGCTACAACATGGACATGGAAAAACTTATGGAACATCTGGAGCAAATGGCGGCCAGACAGGAGGCCAATAGGAGGAAAGACAAAGAGGATTTCCTGGCAAAATTAGACGTCAACCAGAAACAAACCGAAGTCATGCTGACAAAATTAGACGCCTACCAAGAAAAGGCGGAGGCCGATAGGAAGGCCGACAAGGAAGAAATTAA